CCGCGCCCCCTGCAGAGCGAGCCCGCTGCGGAGCCGGCGGGGGACCCCGCTGCCGTCCGCCCGCGGGGCCCCGGCAGGCTACCGAGCTCCCAGAAACGCATCAGGGTGGCTTGCAGCTTCCTCACGTGCGGGAAGTGTGCAGACGGTCAAAATGCAGTGCTTGCACGGGCTCAGCCCGCCGCTACCTCCTGGTCGGCTCCTGCCAGCGCATCTGCCCGGCGCCAGCTCCCACCGAGCGGGGCAGAAACTAGGGAAGCTGCTCCTTCACCTGGCTTTGCCTCTGTCTCAAAAATACGTTCCCCCCCCCCCCCCCACGCCTTGGTGCACAGTCCTGCACAGAACTCACAGGCAGCTTTAGGTAGTGAACCACTGCCGTGACTCCATCAGCACCTTTCCTTGAGCTATCCATGTTAATAATAATAAAATAACAGGAAAAACTCTGCTCAGGAGTGCTAAGAAACAAAGCAATGAAAATAAGTCCTTGTAACGCCTACCTTTGCAAGGATCATTTTGGCCACAACGTCTCTGGCATGTACATCTATGGTACAGATCGTCATGATCTTCATTCTGTCTCCTGCAGTTAAGTTTCCAAGGAGTAGTGAAATGAGTGCATTCAGCTGATTAATCTGAAGAAGGAAAGAAACAATTAACACAGAAAAAATGACTCTACACTTTGCCTAACTTTCTGTGAACCACCCCCAGACCGAGTCTGATAAGAGCGGAGAGGGGCCTGCAGCAAGGCTACAAGTCAGCACTGTGGGATGCAAACCTGCTTTTTGTTATAATCTTTAATTGCATTTTCATATCCTTCCTCCAGTCTTGAAAAGGCAATGCCAACTTCTGTAGTCCACCAGATCTGAGTGCACGTCAGAGCGATCTGCAAGAAATCGCACGGAGAAAATGTGGCTGAGGGCAGGCGCCTACGGCTCCCCGTTCTCTGTGCTCCTCTCTCTCTCTGACGTCAGGTCAGAATTTTATGGGGGTTATTTACTAATTGTGCTCTTAGTCGGAATTTTACAGGGAACAAACTTTAACAATTTAGCATTAATGTGCAGTATCTGATTTCCCACACCCCGTGGTGCATTGCAGACCGCATAGGAAGCGCCCTGATACCCAACATTACGGGGTACCTATTCCCCCATTATGGGCAAATTTTCTCCTGGGCGAACCGTGCTATGAGCAGCATCCCAGGGTTTCTGCACCACGTCTGCGATCCGCCTGGGCGCTGTCTCTGTCCGGCTCACTGAGCCCGCCGGTCCCCAGCGTCACGTGCTGGTGGCACTGTACCTGTGCTGGGTAGTCGAACACCCACTGCTCCCGCGGTTTCTCCTCGTAGGTCACCACCGCCTCGGGGATGAGGTGCTGGAGCGTGGAGCACATCCTCTCCAGCACGCGGTTTAGCCAGACCTCCACCTAGGGACAGTCACACCCAGCAAACTTAGTCTTTCACAGCAGTTTTCTGTTCTTGTGGTGGATGCTCTAGCTTTTCCCTGTGCTATGGAAAATGCTGCTGGAAAGACCTTGGCATGCAGCTCCACAGGACACTTCAAATTGCAGCACATATAGCATATGGTCTGAGGGTGAACAAAAGAGAGTAGAAGACCATACTGCAGCCGCCTGAGTGGCTGCAAGGCTGGATTGTTCTTATATTACTCTTACGCTGCTGCAGGTCTGCTGTATGGTTGTAACGTGGAACCCATTTCTAGGGCTTTTTGGCTGAAAGGCGCCATGATCACATTTTCAAGCTGGTGCTTGAAAGCAAGACTGTTATTACAGAACAAGCAAAAGACTTGTCTCCAGCCTTAAACTGCGCACATTGCTACTCCCTGCACGCACAGACTTCCACGAGACATTGCTGACCTGGCCAGACAAGTCGCATTCTTTGTCCAAATCCACATACTCCTCCTCCTTACTGAACATCCCCAGGCCAATCTTCAGCGGCTTGTTGTCTGGGCTCATTTTGAACTTCAGTTTAGCAAGACTATCGAACAGCTTCGACAGATGACGGGACACCTGAAAACAGGCAAGACAGCAGAGTCAGGAGTTGCTGATTCAGTGCCAAGGCGTATTTTACAGTTCTGATTAGGCCTTTTTTACTCTTACACTGTTGCATCCCTGATAACCAGTGTACCAGGAATTATGTTTCGTCTGTCAGGATGAAAAGTGTTTTAAAACCACCATAATGAAGTTAGCACATAAGAGACAAAGGACGTGCCTCCATGCTTTACATTCAAACCATACCTCAGCAGGCTCATTTCCATTAGATAAAATGTCAAGCAGGTCTGCAGAAGAAATAAAGTAAAATCTGGGAAAAGCCAAACGTTTCGTCTCTAGGTATTCAGCCAAAGCCTTCTCACAAAGCGCCAATCTAACAGAAAACAAGAAAGAAAAGCTACAGTTAAAAAAAAAAAATCATTATTTTTCACTCCTTGTAAAGTAACCGTCACCTTGAGGAAGACGTCACTTTGTCTGCTAGGGGAATTAAGCTCTTCTTTTGGCCTTTGAACTGGCAGTGGAAGTTTCTCCATAATGCTTCATCGGGATGACTCAAACCTCACCTTTTCTGCAAGGCTTCTAACTTGTCATAGAGACCGGGTTTATTTGTTGCTTCAATTACATTGGGAGTTTTTACTGCATCCGCCATTAATTCCTGCAAGAGAAAAAAAGATTCAGTTAAGTCTAAACCACCAGTGAGTTCTTGAGGGGGTCCAGGAAGGGGTAGGTTACTCACTTTGAAATCTTTATCGATAGAGTCAAAACGCTTGGAGTCTTCTGGTAGCTGATTGCGAATGTCTTCAGAGCCGATGAAGATGCTTTCGAGGTGACTCCATGTTCGCTGCACCTCGAACCAGATGCTTATGACAGAGTCAGTGGTAGATAGCTTCTGCTGCCAGCTTGACACCTCCTGCAGGAAGAAAGCTAGGTACTTGGAAGTCATCAGGTTCTGCAGCTGCACTTGGTTGTCTTCCAGCGTCTCGATGAGAGTTTCATCTGACTTGAGAAGCATGGTGCCAGTCCTGGTGTGGGGCTCGTGCTCGAACTGCATTGTTGACCAGGTAACATCCAGGGCCTTCAGCACCTGCGGACAGAACACGAGCAGAAATGAGCTGAGCTCTGCAGCTATCAAGGGGGGGAAATCCTACAGAAACCCCTCCAGAAAGGCAAGCTGAGCAATATGAGCGCTTCCTCTGGAGCATGCGCTCCGTGGGAGCCAGCCTCTGTGTGGGGCCTTCAGTCCCCCCAAGCAGAAACACAGGAGCTGAAAGTTGTAGAGCAGTTTCAGAGCTTGGGCTTATCTGCAGTAAAGGTGGGTACAAACCAGGCCATGCTTGCCGTACCTTCTCCATGCCCGACTCTTTCACGGCTTTGTCCACGATGCCGCGAACCTCATCCTCAAACTTGTGTAGGTTCAGCTGCAGCAGATCAGCGAGGGTCGTGTCCTCGGACATGGTGAAGTTCACCTGGAGCAGAAGCGGTAGGGTCGGGGGCACTGACCATGCTGCAGAGAGGCAGCCCGACAGCTCACCCAGGCAAGCTCTCTCATTAACATTGGTGTTTATAGAGCCTACACAAATATTTGTGTAGGGCCACCTCTTAAATATGATTTCCACGTCCATTCATTTTTAAAGCCTAATTTCTTTAGCCTGCAAGTCCACCTGGGTCATGGGACTTTTGTGACTGCTCTGTAAGAACAAGAGGAGCGATTGTGTACAAGTGCTGATGGCTGCGTATGCCGGCACACGGGCTCGGAGAATCCCCTGTTCCCATCTCCTCCCAGCTCCCAGCTCGAGCTGGGAGCTGGAGTTTGCAACTGCTTGCAGCCATGCACCCACTGGCTGAGCTCTCCACAACAGCCTCATATGCTTTGGGGAACGCGAAGAGGTCCCGCTTCAATACCTCTGCCAAGAACCAAGTGATTTCATGGCTAGAACTGAAAAGACAGCATTTATCTGAAAGGTCAGAAAATGCAGGGTCAAGGCTGACAGCTCAGAGCTAGCTCCGCTCCCTCACGCCGTTTCCTATTTACCTAATAAATTGATAATTAACAAACATGCAGTATTTTCCAGTACAGCACAAAAGGTTTCTTGGGCCGGTTCCTTAAAAGCTCGGAACCAGGAAGAAGCAGGGTAGCTGTATCTGGATAATTGCTCCTTCTAGGTGCTGAGCACAGAACATCTGGGGATGGTCATTTTGGGTACCAGAGCTGTGAAGGACCCTTCCCGGCACCACCTCAGTTACTAGGTGCTTCCTGGAGGCTGGAAAACTTGGGAACTGCCTGGGTCAGGCTGCCAAGAGCCCTGCAGGCCGGGGCCAGGGCTGGGGCTGGGAGGGAGGGTGGCAGGACTTTCCAGGCTGGGAACAGCGTGGGGGCTGGAGCACCTTAGCTGCCTGCATGAGCTCGTGCCAGTGCCGGTCCCTGATGGCCGGGTTCTGCAGCTCGTTCACTGCGCGCAGGGACGTGATCATGTTCTTCACACTGTTGTCCAGCCCTGTGAATGCATCCCAGCTTCTCATCTCCTTATCCAAGCTCCGAATGTCTTTAGCAAACTTCTTAGAGTCGATATCCATCTGCTCAACATTAATATCCTTCCATCTGGTGGTCTTCCAGTCATCGATGCTTGTGTTGACCTGAATTTGGGGATGCATTTTTCTTAGGCCGTGAAATTACCAGGAGCGCTTATCAGCACTCCCCCCACTGCACAAAGAGCTGCATAATTACTGCCAGCACACCCGGTGTGCCCACCATGCCAAAAACACCCACGCTACCCAGTGTACTCCGTGCACTCGCCATGCTAAAACCACCCACGCTACCCAGTGCACTCGGTGCACCTGCCACACCAAAAACACCCATGCTACCCAGTGTCCCGGGCCCCCCCGCCACGCCTGAAACACCCATGCTACCCAGTGCCAGCACACTTGATGCACCCATTATGCCAAAAACACGTACACCACCCAGCGCACCTGGTGTACCCACCACACCAAACACACCTGCACCACCCACCACCAACACACCCGGTGCACCCATCATGGTACCCAGCAGACTTGGTGCACCCGCCACACCAACAGACAAATGCTACCCAGCTGGCAAATTATTAAATGCTCATCTCTCATGGCAATGAGGCTCTCAGCGGAACTACAACTTGGCATCTCAGCTAACCCACGGTGCCCATGCCTGCCAACAGCAGCTTGCTTTCCAGCGAAGGCTTGGAGGCAGCACTGGCTGCCCTGCCCTGGCCCAGGAGCCCTGTGCACCCTGCAGCTGTGGGCTACAGCAGACGCTACTGTCAGTCACCATCTGGAGACACAGGGCTGTTTTCCACAGCAACAGGAATTTCAAAACCCTAAGGACTGGCACAGCACACCCAAGAGGCTCCTTTCGCACATCCCCGTGCTCCAGTCTCCTCCTGCTCTCTGCGTTGGGCTGGCTCACAGACCCTAGCACGTACCAGGACGATCATGTCCCAGAGCTCCTTGAGCAAACACACTTCCTTATGGCAGGCTTTGAGCTGTTTGTAGTCGGGGACGGACACTTCAAACAGCCCCCCCCCCCTGCCGATGTGGACAGGGCTGCCATGTCGCTCTCCAGGGCGGCGATGCTTTTCTGTTGCTAGAGGGAGAAAAAGAGAGCCCCTCCGCTCTGGCCGTGCCGGGGTGGGAAGCGCATCCCAGGTGCACTGCCAGCAACCACGTGCCGGGAGAGCCCTTCCTGCCCCGCGATGGCGCCTTCCTTTGGCATTCGCTGCAGTGCAGCAGGGGACCGGGAAAGCCACTGCTGCAGGGCCAGGTCCCCCCGGTGCGCTGGGAGCAGGAAACGGGCTGGCTGCCAGTCTCCGTCCCCCGTCCAGCTGCACCCCATGCTGCGGGGACGCACACCGCCACGTCGGTGCTGCCCTCCACGGTGGGGACGGCTGGGCCCAGCCCTCTCCTATGTGTCCTTGCCTCTGTTACCTTGTTCAGGGACTTGTACGGGTCCGGGTCAGTGTAGGAAAAGGGGGCGTTTTCCCGGAACTTCTCCCTGAATACCTGCTGCCGGACCTGGGAGGGGACAGAGGTGCTGGTGGGGCAGCAGCCGGGCACCGTGCAGAGCAGGAAGTCGCCGGCAGAGCAGAGGGCTCTGCTGAGGCCGAGGAGCCTCAGCGAAGAGCAGACGGGCTCCTCCTGCCACCCCCTTCCCCGGACCCAAACCGGGCACCTCGAACTGCCGGCATTTCCTGCGGAGGATGTTGACCTCATTGGCTTGCAGAGGCGCCACGTTCTGCTTCACCTGGAAGGAGAGCTTCTTGGTGTTGTTCCACTGCTCGGGGAGGTCCTGCAGCAGGGATAGCGGTCAGCCCCAGGCATGCCATGTGGCTGCTGGCCAGCACCACGGCTGCTGCCGGGCCGCAGGCACCTGCGCCCAGCACCACCCACTTGGAGCTGCTGGTAGATTTCCTCGGGCATCTCCTCTCCGTACGTCTTCAGCAGCGCGATCGTTTCCTTCAGGGGCTCGAACATGCTGTCTGTAGTCGCCTGCCTGTCTTTGACCCTCATCAAGTGTCCCATCACCTCCACCAGCCCGTCATAATCTCCCTCTTTAAGAGGTTTAGTCAAGCCAGCATTTGCTTCTTTCATGAAATTTTCTAGCTCCTGGAGACTGAAAGACAGAGGATTGGGGAGTTCACATGACCAGGCGTCAGTGCAAAGGAATAAGCCAAAGCCTGGTTGCTAACAACAGCCCCTATGAACGCTAGAGAAATGGCTTGCACAAGCTCGTGGTCGGGGGCTGGCACTGCTGGGTACATCCCCCCGGGGTTCACCGTGTTGGAGGTGCCCAGGGCCCTTCTTCCAGATCCCTGTGCTGAAGATTTCAAGGCACAAGATAACCTGCTCCAACCTGTTCCTTCGCTACGCTGGATGCGGCACCGTCTTTGCATCACCCAGCCAAAGGCTATGGCAGGAGCTGCTCTACCTGGTGGTGACATGGTCGCTGAGGTGCTGCTTGAACATGAGGCTCCAGCGCTTGACAATGTTGAGGAGCGCCTGCTTGAAGGGGCGGCAGTCACTCTGCAGCCAGCCGTCGAAGACCTTGGTGTTCTCAAACCTGGACACCTCCTCGTACAGCTTCTCATAGCAGTCGATCTGGGGATCAGAGCTTGTAACAACCCACGGCTGGGGCTGCCCAGGGCATGCTGGTGCTCTTTGCCTCCCTCCCGGTCTGCACGGATGCATCTCCCATCCCCGGGTGCCTGCTCTGCTTCACCCAGGGGTCCCTCACCTGCTGCTGGAACTGCCCCAGCGTTGGGGGCACATGTGGCAGGTACTCCTCTGCATGCAGTTCCAGCTCGTCAGGGGTGAGGGCACGGCCAAAGGTGAGGAACCGCTGCAGGAACTCCTGGGGGTCATCCAGCCACAGGTAGGAATACGTCTCAAAGGAGGCCTCGTACTCGCTTGCTTGCTTCATGACGTTGACGACCAGGGAAGTCACCTCCTCCCGCATCTCACTGAGGTCTGCCATGTCTTCCAGGTCGGTCTGCAGAGACGAGCAGAGATATTGGGGATCAGGTCCAAAGGGGACCCGCAGCATCCTCCACCCAACAGCAGATCTGCCGCATCCTCCACCTGGCAATGGGCCTGTGGCATCCTCCACCCCACCTCCGAGTGAGCCAGGGAGAGGCCGACACCTGCAGAGACCAACCTTGTAGTTCAGCTTTCCCTCCACCAGCCGAGGGATGAATTTCGCAGACATGTAGATATCCTTGAGCAGGTTTTCCACCAGCTCGAAGAAGCTGTTGTCTTCTCCCACTTCCATCAACGGGCGGTGTCTCACTCGGTCATCGTACAGCTCCATGTGTGCCTCAAACAAGGGGGCCACGCTGGCCTGAAACACGTTGGCAAAACCTGCTTGGCTGCCATCGCCCGCCCGCCCTGGCCCCCTGTCCCACGGTCCGGCAAAGCAGGGACCCCGGCATCACTCCGATGTTTCCTACCTAAGGATCGTGCAGGGGCCACTGAGATAGGCAAGCTTGGCAACTTATTAAATGCCTGAAGAAACCAGGCAGTTTGTCCCCTGGGAGACTAACAAATGTACTGGAACATCCCTAAGCACAGGCAAATAGTCACAAGATAAACTCAAACGTACATCAGGGACCATGTTGCTGAGCAGGAACTGTAAAGATTTGTGAATAAGTTTGAAGAATCCATCTAATACCATTTCATCTATATATTCCACGTAGTTCAGCCATTTCTGTGATGACTTATCAGCCTTAAATAGATCTGCATTTTCCTGCAAGCAGAAAAAAAGTATGCTAATATTTATCAATAAATGTCAAGCATATTACCCATTCCTGTCCAATACTTTGCAAATGAGTCCTCCCCGAGGGCAAGTCAGGGGTTTCTCCTGCGTGACCATTATACAGGCCCTTCTCTTCGTGTCAGCTGTGCAACAGCCAGCCACTGCAGCCAGATCTCACCCTGCAATCCATGGAACATATTCCATGGTCTTTTCCAGGAGTTTTGTCTCAGTAGCACTGGAGGATTGTACCCCAAATCTGAGCCCAGCACTCACAGTTACAAACTATGTGAAAACACTAGTTCTCACAGTACTGCATGTAAATGTTATATACAATCTTCTCTTAAAACAGTTCTGATTAAAGTGTCATGGGATGTTTCTCACCATCACCATATTCTGAATCTTTACGCCTACATCCCTAATTGCAGCGTAGCGCTTGTTTAAGTGATTCGTTTTCCCATCCAAGTCCAAGAGTGCTGTCTCCTTATTGTCTTTTCTTTCAAACAAGGGACTGGCTGAGCACTCCTGCAAAAAAAGGAAGACAACACTTCTTTTCTGCACTTGGAAAATAGTAATTTGCAGGAGGAAGCTTACCAAGAATGGCATTTTTAGAATGACTAGCAAATGTATGTTACCTGCATAAGCTGGGTGATATTCGCCACATTTAACTTTGTTTTCTGAATTCTGGTCTCTAAATTATACAAGACATCTCTCATCCCTTGAATGTACTCCATGACACCTGTGGGGAAAATATATGTATAAATTTGAGGCAGATTACCTTCAAGTCAGCGAGCCTAAATCAGAGCAAGGAGAACGCAGGCACTTCAGGGCTATTTGCCACGGCAGGGACATGCTGCCTGCCCCGAGACCTGGTTCACCCACACGCACCTGGGCAGTGGAAGTCTGCATTTTGGGTGCAACCACTGCGCCAAGGGCAGGTGGGAGCCTCTCATACCTTCATGGTGCCAGAACAAGGTCTGCTCTGCCTTCTCCAGCTGGCCGTCTATGGTCTCCAGCTCCCCAGTGATCAGCGGGAACTCCACTGACAGCACCGTCAGCCGGATCTGGGAAGCAAAAGCCGCTGCTGGTTGGTTCTGCAGGGCAGGGAGGGCACCATGCTCCCAGGCTTTGCGAAGCGCTCTTTTGGTTGCTGGTTTTACAGAGAAATCGGGACCCCCTGCTCCACCCACGCGGTGGGAGGATGCCCATGTCAAGACAGAAATCTCATCTAGCAACAGGTGCTGGCACAGCCCCCATGATGGGCAGCGCCCTGGCACGCCAGGGACATGCCACCCTGGGCTTCTAGGACATGTGTCACAGTGGCCCTCTTCTTCCAAGGGCTCCCAGCCAGTCTGAGCCTGGCTTTTAGCAGGGCGAGCGTTCAGGGCATTGGATGGAGTTACTGCTTTTCTAGGCTACCTCCCCTTGTAGAACTTGCCTTATTGTACCAGCTGACAATGAGGTCCAGATTGTCCACAAACTTCCGGAACATTTCGTTTTGAGCAAAGAGACTCTCTGCACTGCCTGGAATATCCTTCTGATTCTGGAAGTTCAAGTATTTGACCTCCCGTAGAACTGCAATGAGCTGCAAGACATGGTGACTGGAAATAATGACTTGTTAATAAAAACTGAAACATTTCATGATAGGCTTGTAAGAAAGTCAGATTTACATTCAGAGGAGTTATTGTCAGCATTGCCCAAAGCACAGCTCCAAACCAGCGTGCAAACGCATTAAGTAACTTTGAGGATTTGGTCTCAACAAAAACAGCAAAAACCAAGAGGGAGCTGGGCTCAGGCAGCATCTGCTGCAGACATGGACTCCTATCCAGCAATTCCTCTGGCCAGGGCTGCGTGAAAGTGCATGAGCACCAACCTCTTTGCTGAAGTTCACGCTGATGAGGGATGAATCAGGATCTCTCCGTATCAAGGGCTGTTCCAGGTTAAACTGGCAATCTTGGTCAACTCTGCTTATCCACTCGGCGTAGGTCTTCTCACGGTAACCTTGCAGCAGCTGTACCATCTCTTCGTATTTCCTGGACACCAGCTGAGCTTCAGCACTGGCCATGACACTGTCCAAGTTATCATAAATAAACTAATAAAATAATATGATGGGGATGAGACCCACCCCGGGGTAGATCCTGCCTCCAGCCCCATACAGGGCTCATCTCCCATGGGCCGGCGTGACTGAGCCTCACTTACGGGTGGTTGATGGCGAACAAGTCCTTCCTCGGACCCTCGAGCCTCTCCTGGAGCTCCAGCGCCCATTTCAGCTGCCCGGCTACTGGTGGCATGTTTTTGTTGATGGGTGGGATACCCCCCGTTGACTTTGTGGAAGCAATCTGGGCATCGTACATTATCTTTGCGTTATCCAGTTCAGTGTTAAACATTTCCAGCAGGGCTGAGTAATAGGGGGAAACCTCTGCCTTTATCAAAGGTCGTTCCAACAGCGATGCAAACATGTGCACCAACTAAAGAGAAAGAAATGTGTTAATTTTTTGTACTTCAAAGTATCCACTGGTGCAGTCTGCTGATATCGCTGATGGTCCTTCCCAAACACACGTGTAAACTGTGCTTAGCTGCAGAAAGTACACATACTCTCTGTCTCCTCTGCTTAAGCAATGAAACATTTCCGGATTTTTAAATTCCAAAGGGGTTGGCTCAGGGAACTGGTGAATTTTCTTTTTTCTCCCAGAAGCTCCTTTCCTCCACGGCCACTTTTTTTCAGTGGATCCTCCCATGTGAAAGAGCGTACAAAACTGATGAGAAACTTCAAATTGTGGACTTATTTTTTAAATGGGAGAAAACACAAGATCTTCAGTATTACCCATGGAAGAAATTGCTTAGAATTTAAAAATCATTGACCCATTAACCCTTAGGAAGTAAAGACATTTGGGTTTTATTTCAATCATCTTTTTTTGTTTCTGGCAGAAACATGGACCCATGTTCAACGAGCTCCAGCATTTACATCCTCAGGTTGCATCTTTCTGGGACTCCTGCCCTGTCCTTCTGCTTTAGCCTGCTGCTGGCCAAGAAAAAGGCTGCTCTAACTGGGACTTGCACGTTGAGGCATTTGGCCTCTCTATCAGCTTTTGGCCACCATTTGTATGTTTAACCTCAGTGCAAATTCACCCATTTCAGCTGGTTATTGCTGACCTGACATGACCTCGTCTGGACCCCTGGGGAGAGGCCATGTCGAGCCGCAGGCGCACATGTACCTTGACAGCAGATGCCATGCTGTTGCAGTCATCGAACCCTTGGCCAAAGATGGTCGTCAGGCGCCTGTCCAAATCCTGAATTTTCGTCTGGAACTCTGCAAAATCTGTATTCAATTGCTGTCAACAACAACAAAATGATTTAAGCCGTGGTAGCTTCTGCATTTTATTCCCACATCCTTCCAGAAAGGCGCTCATTTAATCTGAAAGGCACTGGGATGCTGTGATTTTTCTAAAGTGAGCGCACTTGTTGCCATGGTGACAATTTTGCATGCAGGTCTTCTGGCTCATTCTGGCAAGCAATTTTTTTTGCATTTAGCAAATGCATACATTTTCCCACTAGTGTTCACTCACCTCTTCTGCAGGATCTAAGGGATCATATTTGCAATCCGCAAAACCCTTAATGAGTTCGGAGACCTCCTCGTAGATCTGGAAGACCTGGCTGCTGAAGATGTTTCCTCTCACTCCTCCCAGTTCAACCTTCTCCAGCTTCAGAAACTCAATAGCCGTCTCGTACAGCTCCTGGCGAGCGGAAACAACCATTGTGTGCGGTTCCTCCAAAGCGCCGGCTCCAGCTCCCCGTGCTCCAGGGCTGCCGGTGCAGGTGCCGCGTGGGGTGGCCATCACGGCAAGCTGCCAGGTGCCAGGAACGTGCTGCTGCGCTTGCAGCAAGGCGCGTGCTGGGCACGAGGTGGTGGTCACCGCGGCCGGCCGGTGGCTCGCC